CTATTGATTTGGTGATGACCCACTGATCTGTTCCTCTACCTTAGCAACACTTACTAGTTATTGGTTCTTTGTAAGTTGGTGTCTTGGTACATACTTAAAGCCATTGGCAAAATCAAAGACTAACCAATGTGAAGACAGAAGGTCACCGATGCGGTGTTGTGGATCAACTGTCTAATATACACACCAAGACTCCGAAGTAGCTGAAATGCATATTGAAAATATTTTGAAGCTACAAGCCGATTGAAGGAAGATCTTCATAGACCGAAGATTGAAAATCTTCATGGACTCAAGATTGAAGATCATGAACCGAATATTGAAAATCTTCATGGACTCAAGATTGAAGATCATGGACCGAAGATTGAAAATCTCCATGGACCGAAGACTTGTGTGTAGCTGCTTGAAGCTACATATCCATTCAAAGGAGATCTTCCTACAAACTGACCATATCTCTGCAAAGTTTGTCTCTGCATGAACTGTGTAAGTTTGTCTCTACATGAACTGTGTTGTATGCATGCAGTGTACGATGAAAATGAGATATCAACATTGGTCAAGTCAACCCCTGCCTTCTTATCCTCAAGTGACAAGTGTCCCCATGCATTAAATGCTGAAGGTAGCATAAAAAGGTAGTGTGCATCTCCCATGCACACACCTGGCTTTTGCAAGATTACTTAGTGCACTCTAAAAGCAATCGGCTATTCTCTTCTACTTCCTTGCTCTCCTGTGTGCGAAGAAATTCTTAGTGTTCTTCATTTCCTTTCAAGAACTCTCTGTGTTGTTCTTGAAAGTTCTTCTCCTTGTAAGATTGTTTAGGTTARGTTTTCCTTTCCTATCTTCCGCAACAATCGTTTGTATTTCTGTGTGTATTAATTCTTGATATAAATTAATAAGAATTAAAAAGTTGAAAAAAGTCTGTGTAATTGTATTCAACCCCCCTTCTACAATTACTTTCTGTTTATTGTCTTTCCCTTCGGGACTAACAATATATATATAAGGAATAACTGATTAGTTTGTGGTAACTGTGAGATCCAATCTCAACCACAAATCAACGGGTAAATTTGGAAATTAGTAATTATGGTAGTTTGAGTTAAAATTATAATTAGAGGACATTTTAGGTATTTTTAAAAAACTCTTCTCTTCTCTTCTCTCTCCTCTCTTCTCTCTCCGACCTCCGACCTCCAATCTCCGGCCTCCGATGAACATTAATCCGGCAAGTACCAAGTAATAACAAAGATACACAATGTGATACCCATTGTGATACCAACTATGATACCAACTCATATCTTAAAAACAAAATCAAATCCATAATCCAAATTTAAGAGATACGTACAATCGATCCACGTTGTGATACCCAAAATACATACAAGATGCACTGTGATACCCAATGTAGTACAAATTGGGGTACCACTCTGTACCACATAAAATGAGTGGGACATCTTTGGAGTTACATCTCTGACGAGATCTGGTTTACATCTCCGGCGACACCTATGCTACATCTCTGGCGGGATCTTGGTTATGACGGGGAGGGTGGCTGGAGAAGATAAGGGATTTCTCTCCCCTCGAAAATCAATTCCATTTTCAGGCGGCGTTACAAATCAATCCACCGCCAACCGAATTTCGATTAGCACCGCCGACGACGAAGAATGGTGTCGGACTCGGAGCTCGTCGGCCGACTTCGGGAGTTTTTAAGCACGTCTGATCTAACCACGACCACAACACCTAGCGTACGCTAGTAGCTCGAGCAAGATTTTGGAATCGATTTAAAGAATAAAAAGGCGTTTATTAGGGAATAAGTTGATCTTTATCTCGAAAGTCAACAACAGAACGAAGAGGATAAGGAAGGAAATGATGAGGAAGAAGAAGAGGAAGTTGATGAAGAAAAAGAAGCAGCAATGGCAAGCGTGGTGGGAGTAGAAAAAGAGGGTTAGTCGATGAAGGAAGGAAGAAAAAGAGGGTTAGGGTTTTATGATTATAAACATTACCAATTTACCCTTTATGTTATTTTAGAATATAACATTAATTATTTAAAAGATTGGCTCACATTGAACCTCACAATTACCACAAACTAATCAGTTCTCATTTGATTAGACCCCTATATATTTATATATATATATATATGACAATAATCAAATAAGAAACATAAAAAAAGTTACAAACTAGTGAGAACCGATATAAAAATATCTTTTTACATTAGTTTTTTTAAACAAAAGCTATGGTTGAACATATTTTTTCACATATGTTTGTATTCACCTTATGAAAAAAATAGAATGTGTAACTTTTATTGGATTCATTTAATGAAACGAAAAATATACATAAAAATATTTATATGGTGAAACAAATACAAGTGAAACTATCATATTATGAAACAAATATATGTCAAGTAATATCTAAAATCGTAACATTTAATGAAAAAAACCATGTAACAATTTATTTTTAAATCGATTCTCGCAGGGTTTGTAACTTTTTTGTGTTTCTCATTTGATTTAACTCTTATATATATATATAGAGAGAGAGAGAGAGAGAGAGAGGGAGAGAGAAAGAGCCCCAAAGATTATATTGAGAAGTGTTAAATATTTGAGAAATAAAAAAGTGATCTTAACCCTTCATACGGCCAAAATCGAATTTGACTGATCAATAATTGCGCAGCTTTGACTAGTTAATAATTACGACTTTTAGTGGTAAAAAATTGTGGCTATTTGTAAAAAATATAGAGAGTAGTTTCGTAACTTTTATAAATAGACAACAAAAGAGTTCATATATGAACCTATGTGATACACATATGAACTATATGTTCATATGTCAACTCATGTAATTCACATATGAACTACTTTAATTGATTCACATATGACATAATTAACATTATGCACACTATGAACTAATTAACTGATTCACATATGAACTCGTGTAATTCACATATGAACTAATTAATGGATTCACATATAAACACGTTTGCCGTCTATTCGTAAAAGTTACAAAACTATTCATCTATCTTCAGCATACTCATGCAAAGAATTATCCGGTGATTCATGGTCAAAGCTCAGATATTGAACAGATGAATGACTAGGATTACTACTATACTTTCAAATATATGTCACTTCTCAAATAAACCTTTCCATATATATATATATAAATATATATATATATATATATATATATAT